GAGTAGACTTTAGAGTCAAGGTGATAAGCACACTCACTAGTGACCCCTCCCCCCTTAGTAGGAGTAGACTTTAGAGTCAAGGTGATAAGCACACTTACTAGTGACCCCTCCCCCCTTAGTGGAAGAAGTCTTTAGAGTCAAGGTGAATAGACCCTACTAAAGATAATTTTAAGGAAGATTAAAAAAGCATCATCTTGATATTTTATCTACAGCTTGCTCTTAGTTTCATCACAATCCAGTGTTTCTCGGGTTGGAAGACCATTATGATCTGAAGAAAAGAAAAGTCAAACAAAAACTTCATATGATGAATTTTTATTTAGGAAAATTTCATAGAAATTATGATATAATTTGTCTCTAGCTGAAAGAAAATCAGAAAAAATTAGAATCCCGGATAAGAATCAAAAACAAGTATGTTACATTGGGTATTGTTTGTTGAGGTGAAAACAATGAGAAAACATTTCATACTGCTATACTATGTATATACCATGATAAATAAAGGTCACTAATATTAATAGTACCTGGAAGTTCCATGGAATAAAGGGTAAAACTTGATCCACCATCTATTTTGACGGTAGAACCTGTAATGTATGATGCTGCTGGAGACAAAAGGAAGCATACTACTCCAGACACCTTAAATAAAATAATTATAGAAAAGCATTAGATAAACAAGCAAGAAAGCACATTTTCTAATCTTAAATCCATGATGCTTACTTAGGCTGTCGTATCACAGCTTGGGGCAATGATTACGACAGAGCCAGGCTCTAACTACGTTACTGCCCAAAGATCAAATCAAAAATTAAAAGTTCATTTTTTTACTTTACTTAGGCTGTTGTATCACTGCTTGAGGCAATGATCAACACAGAGCCAGGCTCTATCTAGATTAATGCCCAAAGATCAAATTAGACATTTTAATTTCTAAAAAAAGTTTTAAAAGTTAATATTTGAAGAGGCAGTTAAATTGGAGAAAAACCCTTGAAGCACAGGAGAGAACCAACAAACAACTGTAGTCACATATGACACTGAGCCTGTGATTTGAACCTTGGGTTGCATTGGTGAAAGGCAACAGACACTACCAGTGCTTTGATATATTTGGCAATTATGGGTACAAAATCAATTTACAGTCATACCTCATTAGGATTTCCACATCTTTTGGGTGGAATACCACTCTCTAATTTTTCAAAAAGAGTTTTGTCTGGGTAGTTAGCAGCAGCAGTCTCAGAATAAATCACACCCTAACAGGAAGAAGAATAAGTTAAAAACCCTTAAACATTTTTTAAAATGTTAAAGCATCTAGTATCCAAAGATAATCATATTTTTACCTACAGGGGCTATATTGTTGATTCGTASACCAGATGCAATCCATTCAATGGCAAGACTCATAGTCAGATTGTGGATCCCAGCTCTGGCTGCTGCTGAATGCCTTGATGAAAAAAATGTAACAATTTTAATACTTATTTTATTTTGTCCCAAAAAGCATTTTTATCTTGAGTTCAAGATTGAAAGAAAATGCATTTGAGCCTAGGCAATAAGAGAATGATTACTAAATTCGATAACATTAACTCACGCCATCATTGGATATCCCTTCCACATGTCAATAAGCATATTTACAATGGCACCTCCGTTATTGCACATGTACTGTCGATAAGCTGCAAAAGAAAAAAAACTCTTAACTTCTCCTGCAGGAATGTATGTTCAGCTCTTTTCAAGTAATGCTATCAAGATGAAATATCATTATTTCCTTTTTTTAAATTGGTTACTCAAAAGTGTTGAGTTACATAAACTTCAAACCTTCTTTGCTTCATCCCCTAGTACCTTCTCTACAGCAAAGGAATGTTCCAGTCAGATTAGTTTCAATCACAGCATTCCATCCTTTCAGTGACATCTCTGACACAGGAGCTCGGAATTGACCTCCACCATTATTGACCAGGAAATCAATCTTTCCATACTGAGATAGAGTTTTGCTCATCAAATCTTTTACCTATCAAATGAATTTTGTATAAATCAATATACTGCACTGTAAGCTTAATTACAATTCATTACAAACAATCATCTCTAGTAGTTAGGAAAGGTATAATCTTGCACCCAATACAACTAAGTGGGGACTAACACTTACAACCCTCGCAAATGTCCAGCGAATGTCCCCTCTTCGCCAAAGGGGGTGGGGGGTGGGCGTGAGGATTGTAAAGTGACAGATACAAAAGACGTTTATTTTTATGCTGGTGCAACTGGTACATAGATAATCAACAAATAATGGAATTTAGCAGTAGAATCTCCAAATAACAGATTGTCATCCACTGAGTCCAACTAGAAGTGACATTCAACTCAACAAGAATAGCTCCACTCACATGACACCAAATTTGGGAATCAATTATGGGATACATTGGTGAAATGCAATCACTCTAGCTGCTACATGACCCATCTTTCCCACAAAGATAAGAAGATAAGTCTAGGCTCCACTCGCACACAATTCATCTTCTACCCCTACCCATGCCTTACCCCACCCCACCCCACCCCACCCCAACTTCTCTACCCCTACTAGTTAATTGGTCCCCTTTGTCAGAGACTTGTGAAGACAATTCCAATAGCTATGATCTTTTTAGTATGTATTACACATTTATATAAAAGTAGCATTCTTCCAAACCTGATCTTCTTTTCTTATGTTACAAGGGATCACTTTGACTTCAGCAGAGCTGGACGGCTTGATACAAGATTCGAGTTCAACGGCTGCTTTTGTCAGTCTTTCTTCATTTCTTGATGCTATTACAACCTTGCTCCCTAGACTAAGTAGTTCTGCAGCTATTGCTTTTCCTAAACCTGTTGCTCCACCAGTAACAATGGCTACTTTTCCTTCATATAAACCTTCGCGAAACACACTTCGCCACATGGCTGCCATTTTGAATTCATAATGAGCTATGCACAGGAAGCCCAGGTTCTGATGACTTGTTACTGAGAGAAAATGTATAAAAATTTGTAGGGATTTGTGTATTTTATATGGGAAATTAGTGAATAGCATTCTCTTGAATTGCTTTATCGTTAGCATATTTACCTAYGTAATCTTTTTTGTTCCCAAATCTAAATTCTCAACAGGTCAACATTTTTGAATGTAAATATCAAAATATTTGGGTTGTGGATGTGGTGTGTGCAGGGGTATTGAACTAAAAGTGCCCTTGTTGATAAATATCCTACAAGATATAGGACCTGAATGGATTAAAATTAAATTGATAGACTTTATTGTTTTTCTTTCATATCGCGCTTACAGTTTTCGATTTATTGTTGAATTCCTGTTACACTAGGATTTTTTGGCTTTAATAAATTCATTTTAAAACGGACACACCATTTTAGGACCTGCAGGTCCCTTTCTTATTATTGTCTTCTTTGTAACTCATCCAAAAAGAATACAGGAGAACAGCGAGACGCAAAGTGGAGCAAAAAAAATTATTGACCCGAGCTGTAAAGCTTTAAATAAGCACCTGGATATGGAGTTGAAGGACTGTAAGCTTTCAAGGAAGTCTTCCAGGATGTAAAATCCCTCAAAGTCAAACAAAGTCTGAACTACACCGGAAAACAAGTCCCGACGACAGTAAAAACATGGCAGAAAACGTGCGAGTTGCAGTCAGAGTTCGACCTTTTATATCCTTTACGAAATGTTTTCTCATTTCTTTTTTTTATACAATTTACTTGGGAATGATTTAGTTAAGGGTAGTACATTGGGTATGGAAGGAACAAATATTCTTGTATTTTGATTTCTCGTACAGTAAGCTTATACGTATACGTACTATTCGTTCTAGTAGATTGAGCTTACTGTTTATTTTGCGTTCTGGTTCTTAGGCAACGACAAATGCACACTTTCTTTATCAATGACTAATTTTCAACTCTTAATACATCGTTTATTACTCTTAAAACTTTTTTCCTGGTTAAATTACGACATGAAATCTTTCAATCTTTCTTGGTTCATTTTCGTATTTTGCTGGTTGGCAAATGAATGTTATTTTCGTCGCTAAGCGAGGGCAAAAAAATTAAATATTCATACATTTAGTATTTTCTTACTTTTTATTATTGTGATTAGATGAATTTTCGGTACTGATATGATTTTGGTGAGAATTCTGAAATGTTATTGGAAATTAACGATGTAGTTTACTGAACAGTCTGGCATCGATTGATCTAATAATTCATCATCAAACAAGCTTTATACATTTGCCCTCAAATGTTCAATGTTGCTATGACGAGTATGACAGCTGACTGTCTGATTGAGACAGAAGACTTAACTGTTCCTTTTATCATTTAAACCTTTTATGAATCTTGACATTCTAAAAGGAATAAAATCATGTTCTTGTCGGAAAATTGTCTGAAAAAGAACAAATACATAACTTCTCAAAGATCTAGCTAAGAAAAATTTTGGTTGCGCTAAATACAAATATTGACAAGATTTAAAACGATTCAATCCACAGAAAGACAACGAAACGTTTTAATTGATACAGGAAGTATAGAAAAAATTAGACTGACAACAGTTTAAATTTTTTCTGGATGTGCTACTGGCTCCATGGCAAGAAAATTATGATATCAGTATCAGTATCAGTGTCATTCCGCTATTTCCAACTATAAGTTGATCAGCAGGGACTATATAGTCTACACAGAGCCAAAGTTCTGATGTAGTAGTCCTTTTAGAACTTTCCTGTCTTGTGTAGATTTCTTAGCTTGGTGTTTATCAACATTAAGTAGTTGACTAATTTTGATCCATGGATCTCTAACATATTTAGCAGATGGAATTGCAAACAGCAACTGTTTCGTTAAATTTGAATTTGGTCTTCTACAAACATGTGCAATGTACTTCAAGTAGCGTAYGTATATAAAATCATGAAGTGCCAGGGTTCCCACTATTCTCTCCAGGTCTAAGTTCCTATATTTAAAGGCAAACGTTTCTTCTCCGTCACTATTCATTTTCCTTTCCCAGCCATTCCGTACCATTCTTCTTAGTAGACCAAACCTTTTCCTTTTTTAGTGAYTGAGAATTTAACGAAGCAATTCGTATGTTTTCGGTCTTAATTGGATCTTTGTTAGCGTTCACTGTAGTTGTAGAATGTTGTTCTTCTCGACTAAAATTTCCACACGTAGAACAGTCAAGTTCCATCGTAGTAAATGAAGATTCTTGCAGTGTAGAGCGTTTACCAGAC